GTTTTCAAACCTGCGGAAATCTGTAAATGCTATGGAAATGAATCAGTGTTTGATAAATCTTACTTCCATCGACATTACAAGATTTGGAATCAATCTGGTCCTAGTGAAATTGGCGCGCACATCATGGAGTATACAACATCTCCGTAGTTTAGTCGATGCTTCAATTTGTGTAACACAGCAACCACTAATTAATTCCCCAGTGGATTCAGGAACGCAAGGCTTCACTTTCCTTTTATGGGGCTGCAATGTACTATTTAATGCGAAGTTATTAAGAGGCGAACGGAATTCCGCTATTAAAGGATTTGGCGAGATAATTGACGTCCCTCGAGGTTATTTGTCAGGACACAACGTGTGGTGAAGCTTGAGAAAATGCTTCTTTATGTTTGCAGTGAAGAGCTTTTTACGCAAGCTATTCTGGAAGTGTAGATTATTAAATGTAGATTAGGAGGCTTTTGTAGAGCTGTTGCATGTTGAGATATAAAACAGTAGAGTGTGTGAAAGAAGGAAGTAATGTATCAAAGAATGCATTATTTTATTTCAAATTAGCTGGCTATCCGACTTCTTCCGATTATTTATTTATTTCTATTCTCTGGTATTAAACTTTTTTTACTACGATTCTGTAATTGCAGCAGAGATGCCGTTATTGTTTTTTCTAATGTAACTTGCTAATACCAGCGAGCCTGCTTGATGAAACGAAGCAAATTTATGGTAGAAGGTGCGTTATTTGTTTTTCAGTGGTGCCATCTATGGCCGAGAATACGAAATCATAAATATACAAGTCACTGCCCGTGTATAGTTCGGACCCATTCGATTCATTCATCCACAGGTTGTAATTTTGACCTGACCCAGAGATTAATCAATCTCCAATTCAGCTCCCCTAGAGGTATTGATTTGTTATGAGACCTTGGAGGACTTTGTGACCACGACAGATTTAGCTTGCACCAGTCCCCATTTTGTACACGGGATGTCTTCGGCAAGCGGGGATCGAACTCATGACCTCTTTGACATGGACCCTACCTGATACTAACCAGGCTATCCCGGCTGCACAGCGATGCTAATTGTGAAATAGAACTGCTTAAGCCGGGGTCGCTCAGAGGATAGAGTACTCGCCTCCCTATGAGGTGAACCGGGTTTGAATCCCAATTATGGCTGGTCGATACAAATTCCGTCCCCGTATCGCATCAACCACACTGCTGACGTAAAATATCCTCAGTGGTAAATGCATCATGGGTTACAGTCCCCTTCCTGTCCGACTAGCCGAGGGAGATTTTCGTGGTTTCCCTCTTCGTGTAATACAAATGCGGGTAAGTTCCCTCAAAAAGTTCACGAAGGCAAATGTCTCCAGGAGTTCCTTGTCTTCTGAATTGGGTCCAAACTACGAAGCTAAAGCATTGAACACTAGTAGTTGCAAACCCAAAATCTGATCAATCTGAATACGTTACAATACAAATAAACTTTTTTTAAATATCTATTAAAAGTCACATTCTCATTGAAAAAATTAAGTCGATTGTCAAAACTAGATAGAAGTTTTTTTCCATTAAAATTGAGTACTTCTGGTTTGATATTCAAAAAAATACTCTCATACTTCAAGGAAGTCTCATTACCAAAAATATTTTTATAGCAAGCATTTATTTTGGAAGAACTGATATATCTAAAATAATCTTTCTTGGGGAAAATAAATATTCTATACAAATCATTTTCATTTATGTTTAGCTTCAAATTACAAAAAAAGAGGCTTACAAAACATTGAATACAGTAAAGACTCCAAGAAATATCCATGTTAAAGACTTTAAGAAATAACCCTTACAAATAAATCCAAACCAAAAACATTTAATCTCTTTTTAATCTCGTGGGAGTAATGCTGTGCTCTTTGTCATTAAAACTTTTCCAACGACTTTTCCACAGAATAAAACTCTTTCGATGAAAAAGATCAGTGCTCGAACAATAGTGAAGCTATTTTAAAGGCACCCATCATTGCTATTATTCAAGCTCATATCAATCTTTTTTGCGAACCCAGACTCTTTCTACGACAAAACTTCAGAAGCAAGTATTAAAAGAGAATCAGGAGAATGAAAAGGAAGTGCATGTCAGTTAGTTTGGAGTTGATTTTAGTTCGTTTCCTCTATTGAAATAATGCATTGAAAGAAAGTTTTAAGAAAATATTTCTTAGACTAACAAGAGGATTTTCATTACCCTTTTATTAAAAATTTTCTTTTCTTTCACATTTTATTTTATTCTTATTATGAGTAATATTTGATATATTCTTTTAATGTCTGCATAAACATAATGCTCATGTAACTGATAACTTACCCACACTCTTAATTAAAGTTTGGAGACTATTTTTACTTTTTAATCTTAGATAGCTAAAGCCATTTTAATTTAAAAGGTTTTATTATTGCACACTTTTATAAAGGCAATATATGTTATGAAAAGATGAAATATTTTATAAGTTTCATCAGTTATATAGCCTGTCAGTTAAAAATATAAAAATAAAAATTATTATTTTTCCGCTATATATGTATGTAAATATATTTTCGTATAGTCAACTATTCTATAAGCTCTGATGATTCCATTCTAAAAGCTGTGAAAAGCTAATATTGTACCCTATAGGTACTAAATTATTTGCTTTGGCATAATTTTATACAGAGTGCAAAATGAAAAAGGCTGAACACCCTGAATAACTTTTGATCGAATGATTGGATTTTTAGGTACTAGGACACGATCTTAATAGCTGGAGGAACTAACCTTCAATAAGCTAAGCAGTTAGTGAAAAAGAAAATTCAAATTAGGATTTCAGGCACAAAAACGTACTTCCTTTGAATAAATATACTGTTTTTGACAGATTTGGATTCATAATTCCACAAAATATGGAGCGGGATTAGCCATAATTTGGAAAATATGGTTCCAATATTTGGTCAGGAGGAGCGATCGAAAGTTTGGACGTCTTAAATATTAATATTATTTGAATATTTCTACATATCTTGAGAATTTTTTAAGCAAATCTTACAATTTTTGAACAAAATTATAAAATTCGTTTATCTACCTCACTTAAATCATGTTAAAATTTGAGCATTTTTAAAACAATACTGGACCGCCCTTTTAACATTAAAAATGCCTGGTCATTTAACTTACCGAAAAATTGTATCTAAAGACTGACAATAATCAGATGGAATATTAATTTGATAATAAAGTCGAAACACTATTTTATTCATCAGCTGTTCAAAACCATAAAATAATCGCTAGAAAGTCAGCACAACTACAGAAAATATCTATAAAATGATTGGAAAAAAAGATAAAGTTATCATACGGTAAGCACAACTGTCGGGCAAGAACTAAAATTTGAATTAGTAGTTTTAGTCTGTTTATGACTTGTGTGACAAAGATATAAAATGGTTTTGTGAGAAACAGTTTTAAACCGTCAAATGTACGGAGAAATTCTACAAAAAAGGGAGGAAGTTTTTTTGCAGTGCGGGAAGCGATTGAAAATAGGAAAAAAATTCTGCATTTATTTTTAAACAGTTTTTTTTTGTTGTTGTAAAAAATGCTTTTTTCCTGTAGAATTTACAGTTACTTTTTGCAGTGTGCAGAGTAATAACAATTAACAAACTTATTCCTTGTATACTAATTAATAAATTATCCAGTAGTACTATATTCACCTAATTTCAATTCGGAATGTTGCTGAACGATTTGATAGATTGAATGCGAATGGTAACAAATGCTAAAGTTTCATTTCAATTACTTATGACGGCTCTGTTCATCCTCATTAGCTAATATATCAAACAAATGAGAGAAGTAATAATTTATAGATATAGATGTAAATAATTGTAATTATTATTATAATTGTTATTTTCATTATTATTTCTTTTCTTTCTCCTTCTCCATCCTTCTATTTTATTATTGACCATAAGTAGCTAATCTGTGTTTTGAATTATAGGCAGTCATGGACATAACCTTAAAATTTGGATCATAAAATAAAATTTTTGTGTAAAGTACCAGGAGGAGTATTGAGAAGGTTTTTAATAAAACTAAGTAGCATTCATGTTATATGGGAATAAATACTCATCTCTTGGTTAACTTTATAGAAGAGGGCTGTACCTCTTGTTCCACATAACATATGGTAAAATTTACCGTGTTTCTGGCATTAATGGAACAGTAAAAAAGTTCGATAGCTTTTACCGAAGCGCTTTGGTAAAATTGACAGTACTAATACCGCTTTTTTAATTTGTGATAAAATTTCGTAAATGCGGTAAAATTTGGTAACTTTATCATAATAACTTAGAACCTAGCATATAAACCATTAATTCGGTAATATTTATTTTTCAGTTTTGAAGATTTTCTTGAATGTGTGGTAATACGAACTATAATAATGAAAGCCATAATTTTCTGTAAACTGTAAACATATGAGTTGAAAAATTACATTACCAAATGAATGGATTAAATAGAGTATGTTTTGGTTTTATTAATAAGAATTATGGATTTTTACCAGAAATGCCATTACCATACAGAACAGTAATTTTACCAGAATATTTTTCTCCATGTTGTTTTCTAACTTAACACATTAGCAAAACTAGTCTTCAATTTGTTAGAATTACAAGCAGATTATGATTTAAAAAATTTCAATAAGAAAGTTTAAATTATAAGTAAAAAGTAAAAATTAGCATTATGTCCATTAAAGTTCCAGAACCAAGTTTTGCCTTACAAAACGCACCAGGTTCAGGTACCCATTCATCCCCGCCATTTATCCTTTTAAACAGCACTTCGGCCTCTTTAATGGTGATAGGTGCTTTCTTCGTGTATGATCTTAAACTGACCTCCTTACTTAATAGTCTCCCTTGAACCATGATTTTATTTTATTATATATATTTTCAAGTTGGGAAAGTTGCATTAAAAGCATCTTATCTCCTAGCATATAGTTATGGTGAATATTATATTTTAAGCAATTAAATTTTCGCTTGATTAATATGTGCATTAATAATTTTGCATTTCTTTCACTTATTTAGAAGGAATTGACTGCCGGAAGATAAAGATGGATGAGTGGGCAGTGGCTTTGATATTAATCGGTGTGAGTGTCCTGGTGACTGCCGGACTTATAGGAATGTGCCGGATGCTCGGAGGATGGACATTTTTATTTGCATTTATCACAGGAAACAAAGAAGAACGAACCCAGTTAGCTACACACGAAGAATTTGGATCAAACGGCTATATAGTAAGGAAAAATGCATGCATTGTTTTAATTTTCTTATTTCTTATTACAGATAAAATATTTTAGAGCTATATACTATTGTTTAATATTTTTTACAAAAAGTTTTAAGTCTAACAAAATTAGTCGAAATGTTTTAGAAATTGAGCANTGTTAGCCTGACGATAAGAGCTATTTCATATCAATGGTCATTTTTATGAATAGCACATATCTTAGGAAAGTCATTACTGGGAATGATTCTTGATGAAAAGAAGATCAGAATAAGGAAAGAATTTATGCGAAAAAGTGAAAGAATGAATTGGTACATCATTGAATAGACAAAGCATTGATCGTGAAAGTCACAGACACAACAGTATCATTTTAAAAAGTAACTAAAATTTATACCCTGTCTCATTTAAAATGTTATCTTTTATGATTAATTGAAATTAAATTTTATATTATTATAGTTAAACTAAAATTTTATTTTATATCTAAAATGAAAAATACAAAAAAAAAATCTTTTTTTGATGATTTGCTATAATGTTAAATATTAAATACTTAAATAACAGATATTTTTAAGCTGCTTATTGCTAGATGATAATTGATAAACTCATCAATTATTTAATATGTGGTATGTTGAATTCATCAACCGAAATTCGCAATTTCTTATTACTTTAATATTTTTATTAACCTGAGTTATTTTAATGCTAAGATAACTCAGTCAATATTTTAAATCAGTGAAATTGTATATATTAATTTTTAAGCAGTAGTTGAGAAGTCTAGGTTAAATCATATTATAGTTTAAAAATGTTAATCTTTTGCTATTCTTTGCCAAGTTGGACAGGTAATATATTGCAAACAGATTTATAATTGAAATTAAAGTAACTTTGAAAATATATATTAACATAGGGTTAAATTATTTAAAATCAGCAACAGTGATTTACATAAAGAATTAAAATTAAGCATAAATTTAATTTTCAACAATGAAAATATTTTACGGTACCTAAAATAAAGAGACTACAGTGTAAGTAAAATATCTATTGAAATTGAAAAAAATTATTGAACCTTTCATTTAATATGAAGCATTTTTTTCATAATTAAAACTATTGTTCAGACATAAAAATAAAACTGGCTTACGTAAAAAAAAATTCCCTGGTTTAATTAGCAGACGTGTTACAAAAATAAAAGAATAAAGTATCTGTAATCAATGACATTGTCGGCAGATAAAAGAAACGGGAGATTAAGCAAAAAGAAATCTCATACATGATTTAAATGATTAAAAGAGGTATGTTTAAAAATAGAGCTTCTGCGAACTTTTAAACGATTAAAATCCTTTTTAAACATACTAATTTATGATAAAGTTTTATCGGTTTCTGAAGCTAATATATACGTAAAACTGTTGGGAAAAAAAGTTAATTACGGGTGAGGAATCACTTTTATAGTAAAAGTTAAAATGAATCAATCTATAAAAAGTATGATATGGTGTTCCGTAATGGAATTTCTGAATGTAAACGGTGTTTCAAAATTCATGCACGATTTGAATTTTGTTCCATCTGTGTCGTATAATGTTCTCGAAGAAGGGAATCGGGACAGCTCACAGTTCAGAATTATTAAAACTGAAGCCATATCCTTTAGATAATTGTAGAGTCATATCTTGACTGCATAATTTTTCGTTTTGGTGATTAACATTGGCCACTCAGATCATGACATTTAACGCCGAAAAACTCTTTTTAATAAAATACATAAGTCTACCGTTTAGGGCAACAAATTCATAACCACCCACGCCTTGTTGTAAAAAGAACCTTCAGAGCACTGAATCAATAAAATTCTGTCAATTTATACTTAACCCCTTGCTTAGGGCTGATGAACCAGAATAACAGGTCAACTGATAGACCACCGTTACTGTTGCTATCATGATAAGCAGCATAAGCAAGCATAAGTTGACGATAAGCAGCATAAGTTGACGATCACTGAAGATTTGGACAAAACACTCGTTGCGTGCCAGCAAAGCAGTGGAAACCATTCAACTAATGTGCCATTCTATCCATAATGCTATACTGAATGCTTAATGAATCAACAAAAATTCAAAATATGTAATTAAAAACCTGTATATGTGATTGGAATTCCTTTTAGCGTGAATTTCGGGACAACCTATATATGCACTGAGAAAAAATGTGTGGTCAAAACTATCAGAATATAGTACAATTCTTCGTGTTTGCGGTTCTATGAGATCGCCAAAAAAGCTCGGTAATTTGTACCAAAGCGATTTGGTAAAGTTAACATTTAAATATGGTTCTTAAATACATGATAAAATTTTGAAAACGTGATAAAATTCGGTAAGTTTATTCGTGATACCTTAGAGAATGGCATAAATACCATTCATTTATTCGATTATACGAGGGTTGTAAATTAAATAGTGGCAACTTTACATTGAAACTCACAGAAGGGCGGGCATGCGCAAATAGGATATGGGAGCGGTGAGGTGGCACTGTTGTCGATGTGTACAGTGCAAAAAACAGTCGATCTGCTTAGAAGGGTAGTTGTTGTGTGGCATTAAAGTGAGAAGTTTCGTTTCCATCACTCTAAAGCATGTTTTCAAAAGGTGATCAGAGGTCGCGCCTTAAAATCGAGGTTGCCCGTGGCAAAAATGCAACAGAATGCTATCGAAGATTAGTGGAAGCCTTTGGCGCAAATGCTTTACCGTATAGGACAGTAGCACGATGGGTTCAAGCATCTCGTCTTTTTTTCGTCATTAAACCTTTTTAAAACATGCATTAGAGCGATGGAAATGAATCTCCTCACTTTAACGTCACACAACAACTACCCTTCTAGGTAGATCGACTGTTTTTTACACTCTAAACTTCGACAACAGCGCCACCTCACCGCTCCCATATCCTATTTGCGCATGTCCGCCCTTCTGTGAGTTTCAAGGTTAAGTTGCCACTATGTAATTTACAACCCTCGTATTTACTGATCAGTTCGGTTCAGTTTTTCGGTTTCATTTGCGTTCCACTTTGGTATCCCGATAACCTGCGTGCGAAATCAAGCACTTTAATAAGGACCAATACCGTCTACCCTAGGTCCCTTCGCAGGCTGCTCATAATGGTCACCAACTCGCAACTGACCACAGGCAGTGATGCTTGGCTTTGGTGATGTACTGAGAACCGGGTACTACGATCAGTCGACTGTAGGATGTGTGAAATATGAACACTCTATTATATTTTATATCCGTCGTTGAACAGCCGACCCAGTTTTGGGTTGCTAATGCTAATGTTCAGATTGACCAGATGCTAATGTTCAACTCCGTATCCTTGTAATTTTGAACCAATCCAGAAGACAAGAAAACTCCTGAATCAGTACCCCCAGAGGTGTTTATTTGCTATGGGAACATGGAGGACTCTGAGACTCGACAGATTTAGCGTGTATCAGTCACCATTTACTACACGGGGAGCATTCGGCCGGCACGGATCGAACCCACGAACTCTTGGATATGAGCCCAGTGCCTTACCAGCAGGGCTATCCCGGCCCCATGAGCACTCTATTTTTTTAATAATTTTTATGACCCCCGTTGAACAGCCGACCCAATTTTATGGGTTTACGACTACTAATGTGCAACTCCGTAGCCTTGTCATTTTGAACCCAATCCAGAAGACAAGGGAACTGCTGTATGGAGTANATTCGATTATATTTACTGATCAGTTCGGCTCAGTTTTTCGGTTACATTTACATTCCACCTTGGTATCCCGATAACCTGCCTGCGAAATCAAGCAGTTTAATAAGAACCAATACCGTGTACCCTAGGTCCCTTCGCATGCTGATCATAATGGTCACCAACTCGCAACTGGCCACAGCCAGTGATACTTGGCTTTGGTGATGTACTGGGAACCGGTTACTGCGATCAGTCGACTGTAGGATTTGTGAAATATGAACACTCTATTTTATTTTATATCCGTCGCTGAACAGCCGACCCTGTTTTGGGTTAACGATTGCTAATGCTCAACTCCGTATCTTTGTAATTTTGAACCAATCCAGAAGACAAGAAAACTCCTGGATCAGTATCCCCAGAGGTATTGATTTGTTATTTGAACATGGAGAACTTTGCGACTCGACAGATTTAGCGTGTATTAGTCACCATTTACTACAAGGGGAGTCTTCGGCCTACACGGATAGAACCCACGAATTCTTGGATATGAGCCCAGTGCCCTACCAGCAGGGCTATCCCGGCCCCATGAGCACTCTATTTTTTTTAATAATTTTTACAACAGTCGTTGAACAGCCGACCCAATTTTATGGGTTTATGACTACTAATGTTCAACTCCGTAGCCTTGTCACTTTGAACCCAATCCAGAAGACAAAGGAACTCCTGGATCAAGTATTGTTAGAAATTTGTCTTCGTGGAAGACTTTTTGATGGAGCGTTACTTGGAGGAGAAGACCATGAGAACCTCCCACTGTTAGCCTGACGATAAGGGGACTCCAGCCCATGATTCGTCCACCACTGAGGATATTTCACGTCAGCACTGTGGTCGGTGCAAGCTGGATTCGGAATTCGTATCGACTGGGATTCGAACCCGATTCACCTAATAGGAAAGCGAACGCTCTATCCCCTGAGCCATCGTGGCTCATGAACGTTCTATTCGAATAAACTCATTGTTGACATAAAAAGTTGGGACAAATTGTAACTGTGAATAATTGACACAAACAGTAGTCGTATCATAAATGCTTTATTCGTTTTCATTGTTTAACACGTTTTTGGTCTTACATGGTCAAGGGATCTTCCAAGGTCAAACTTTCTGAAGCGTGTTCAAATCTCATCGTCACCCTAGATGCGTTTTTATGTTGTCCTTTGATTTTTGCTACGTGTTCTTCAGTTTGACTCCTATTTAAGCCGTTTTTTTTTTTAATTTAGCCCATAAGCTGGCATATGAATAATAACAATAAAGCAAAATAAATCATCCACACCGTATTATCATATTTTTATGAATAGTCTTTGTGATGGCTAATGTTTTCGTCTACTAAGACGTGGTCAAGTTTCGACCGCCCTATTTCCTTGTTCGGATTGCACTTTGTATTTAATATTCAAAGCAAACAAAATTAAACAATGACTCCCAATCTAAACTGTGGTAGTTTAGTGCACACAAATACTCATATTTCGTTTGTATAATTATACAAAATGAATCCCAAACTGGTTCCAATTGTGCATTAGTGTAGCTCTTAGACGACGTTTACTACCAAACAAAACCAAATCAGACATTAATATGCAGATTTATAAGACTAAAACAAAAGTGACTCGTTTCTCAAATTGAAAGAGAGGTGAACACATATAACTGAAGGGTATCCCAAAGGAAGAATAAAATATTCATTCAAAGTTAAGACAGAAATCTTGAAACCGGAGTCTCCTGACTGAGCGGCGAATACTCAATCACTTCAGCCATCGCGGATCTTGATTTTATTGTTTTGCAAATCAAAAACAATAAGAGCACTTTAGAGTCCTACCATTCTTTAGGGTTCTGTAATCAAATCTTGGTTAAAAACCTGTTAATGTAATCATCGCGGATCTTGATCTTATTGTTTTGCAAATCAAAAACAATAAGAGCCCTTTAGAGTCCTACCATTCTTTAGGGTTCTGTAATCAAATCTTGATTAAAAACCTGTTAATGTAATCATCGCGGATCTTGATTTATTGTTTTGCAAATCAAAAACAATAAGAGCACTTTAGAGTCCTACCATTCTTTAGGGTTCTGTAATCAAATTCATTGCACTTTCAGCTAATAGCAACACCTACTACGCAGCAGTGACACACATTTAGCTCTACAAATCTGCCTTCCTTAGATTTTCATTTACTGGAGAGAAAAAAGTTGAAAGTATATTTCGTAACGAAACGAAAAAATTATCTAAAGTAGAAAAATATTTCTTATTTTGCTATTCAAAAAATCGTCAATACAAATTAAGATGATAAGCCAATCAATAATATTCATCATTTCCACAAAATTTTTCCTAATTATTTTAAATTCATTTTGGGAAAACCAAATCCCTGATATAAATAGAGGAAGATCAATCATTTGATTGGTACTGTTATTGGTACTGGTATTGGAATTTGTTATACTCTAACTATCTATAATTTAAAAAATAATACAGACAGCGGTTCAGATAATTAATAAGCAAATAACTACATTTATAACTTTTGTTAATTAAAAATATCAATCGCAACTTACGATTCTTTGTGGATCGATAGTAGAAACTCAATTTAAAACTTAATTTCAACAAGAGCTCTTAAAAAGTATTTCCGAATAATTATTTTGATTTCTAATGAGGGAACAAAAATGAATTTAAAGAAACTGCTGAATAGATTTTCAAATTAAAATGGACATATGCCTCAGGCAATAATGGATAATGTGTTTAAACAGCAAAACCACAATAATAATAGTAAAGATAAAAATTATTCTGATTTGTTTCCCTGTTTGATATATATTTATTTCATATATTAAATCCATTAAAATTAATTAGGAAGATAGTTTTTTTACGTATTACGAATTTTATTGATATATAAAGAAAGCCTTTTGTTAATTTATAAACAGAAATTTTCCTTTCTATAGAAATTTATTATTTATTTTAATTTATTCTGTATTATTCATACCAATTTTTTTCTAATCCGCATTTATAAAGCTGATATTTTTCTTTGAAATAGTATTTTGGTATTACCTTCAGAGTGCAAAAGTTGTAAAATTTTCTTTTTTTACCTTGTTATGATAATAACAATGAAGATTATAGTCGTAACTGCCTGCTCTAGTACTCGCATAGAAAAATATAATTTTAAATTATCGGTTGAAATTAAAAAAATTCACCAAAGTAGACCTGTTAGGTTAAAATTTGGATTTAAAATAGTTAGTAAATGCGATTTTAAATTGGAAGGACATTCTTTCGGTGGATATTTTAACGAATTGGCGTTCGAACATTTTCCTAGCATTCTTCCGTCACTCAAAATTAACGCCACGCAGATTTTTTTTTCTTTTTTGAACATAACAGCATCTTATATTGGCATATCACGGAAACAGTAATAATTTCATAATCACTGATGAACATCTTATATTGGCATAATTCATAATCAAATGCATAGTTTCAATACGATCTACGTAACTTCTTATAATCTTATCTTACAATAAACAAAACGTAATTTATTATTATCTTAAAATCAAAACAACTTCTTCTAATGAGTACAACCTAATTTTTTAAGATCTTTTCTTACAATCAATATGGCTTCTTCAAATCAATATGACTTCTTCTAATCATGCTATGCCATTTCTTACGAAATTTATCTAACAATCAACACGACTTATTTCATTCAATACTAAGTAATTTGTTATACTCTAATCTCATAATCATAATTAATACTAAGTAATTTATTATACTCTAATCTCATAATCAATTTACCTTCTTCTAATCAATACGACGTAATTTCTTATAATACTTAAAAAAAATTGAACTCAATTTGATGGAAAAGGAGATCTACCAAATGCAACAATTTTACCATCGCTGATCTAAATCGAATCCTAACTTAGTTCATAACTATTTATTTCCCAAAATACAATTAAAATGAACTCGATAAAAAATTATTAGTTCTTTTTGCACGTTTATTTCGGAAAGATCGTTCTCACAAAATAAAATTATTTTGTATAAAAGTAAAAGAAAAAAAACCGCCAACTACAAAAATTTCGTTATTGCAGCAAATCAATAATTATAAATAATAAAAAAAAAACACGACTGTCTAAATTCAATCTTAAGAAAAGTTGAGCGTTAATTTTCGTGAAATACCAATCAAATAGTCATTTATTTGTCTTAGAACTTTTTTCCAATTACATCAGTGCACTATTTCGTTTTCTAGTTTCGCTTGAGTTGTCAGATTTATCACCATTTCCTCTTAATCGATTGATTCAGTATAGTATGTACAAAAGCCATTTCCTTAAGTCTTTCCGAAAAAGATTTCTTAAGGTACACAGATAATTCTCTATTTGGATCTAAAAAGTCAGAAATTGGTATTTTTCGATGTCTTTTCAGGGTCTTGGATTGTCGTTGAAAATGTCTGAGAGCTTTACTTATGCTGAGGAAATTGCTTTGCATTTCTTTTTTTGAGAAAAAGACGGGAATAGTCTATGCAAAATAAATAAGCGTTTTAATAGAAAAGAGAAATGGTTAAAGCTAAATCGAATCGATTACAGATCGACTAAAATTGAATTCATTTCGATGTTGTTTGAAAACGATTATTTTGATTAAAATGTTTTATTTAATAATGTTCTAGTTTCGAAATACTACTTTGAGTTTACTTTCTTTGTTTGATATAAAGCCGTGTATTCATCTATGTCATTTTTTTTGCAAATATTTATTTGGGTACCTGCAAGCGACGTCACGCTTTGGTAAATCGTGGCAATTGTTAAGGCTTTGGTACAGCAGCCAATCAGGTATCGACACACGCGCGTGACGTCGCTTGCAAGAATCGAATTTAATCTGATCCGAAAAAAGATTCAGCGTGATAATAGATCGAGATTAATAACGTTAACGCGCCAAACACAACCACGTAATTAAGTCCAATCGTGTGATTTCAGCTGTTTATTCTTTCATTACCCAATTCGAGAAGAAGAAAAATAATTTGATGAATTATTTTTAAATAAAGAAATAAAGTACTTGTAAATGAAGTTTGGCCGAAACAGTCAAATGAGGGAGGCAGGCGAAAAATCCACAATTTCATGACCGACAGCAGGCATGATTTTGTTAATGTTATAAGCATTGCTCACCGCCTTTAGTTCCCAGACAGCCACCATTGATAGAATCTTGGTCCTGCATAATGACAGTTCCGTGTGTTGAACACTGTCGATCATAAATGTCAAAAATATATTAAGTTTATTGAATAAAAAATATTGATAGTAAAAAAAAAATATTAAATCCGTAATCTGAATTGAAATTTGAATGAAGCTATTAAAACTAGTCTTGAATTCATTATCGAAAAACAACCACCAATCCATTTTTGAGAAATAACTTTGTTTTGAAGAATGAAATTCGACCTTTGCCATGATTTCTCGAATTTTAATTATGTTTTCTTTCTTCTTACCAACAATCGTTTTACGACGCCTAATGAGTAAATGCTAATCACTTCATTTTTGACGAGTCCCGCAGTGGACTGATCGTAAGGACACGGTTCCCAGTAGAACACCGAAGTGAAGCATCACTGGCTGCTGTCAGTAAGCGGGTGGGTTACCTCTTTGATCAGCCTGCGTAGGGACCAAGGGTGTGTGGTATCGGCCTTCGTTAAACTGTTCTACCGCAAAGTGCTCAACTTCGTACGCAGATTAGTCTGGGCACCAAAGCAGGGGAGAGATCCCCTCTGCAGAGGATCGAAATTGCGATGGCATCTCTTCGAATCATCCTCGGGGATGTTTGCCAGACCGTCGCCAATAGTCCATTGTGCAGATCTAGTGTGACGTAAATAAAGTACCTACATACCTATCATTTTTTATGAGGTTTATAAAAATAGAGTTTAAGGGAGGTGATTACAGAACACCCTGTATTTTATTTCCAATTTGCTTATTTTAACATTTTTGTCAATTTTTCAGTCGTATCCACCTCCTGGTTACCTTCCAAACAATCGGCAAACCTTCATACCCCAGCAAAGTTTCTCAGACACGCTCAAGTCAGTGCAAGTACAGGGTGTGCCAAAACACAATGTTCCACCCATACCTCCACCTCCAGCATCAGATCATCCTTCTCGAAGATTTTCACTAGACATGGCCCGGCGAGCCAGCATTGACACCGAGCTTCCAGACATCCTATGTGAGTTCATCTCTTTGCTTGATAAAAAATAAATGAAGGATTTAATGGTAGAAGATTCTTAAGTGATGTTTTAATACATTTAAAAGTTTGGAAAATATTGTAACAGCAGTCAAATGTTTACTGTACACTTTTTCCTACTAAAAACTGTTTTATTTGATGAATTGATAGGGGGAAAAAAGTTTCCCTGGCATTTGACTATAATATGTTATTAAGGGTGATTATTGAATCTCTTTTAATAAGGAAAACAGAAAAGCCATCTATTAAGTACCTTTAACTCGAAGCAAAGCTATAATTTTAAACTACGTGTATTATCTTGCCGTATCTGGTCTTTAAAACGAGAAAAAAGCTCAAATTTTTAAAAAATTATGAAACGTTCTTAAAAATCGCCAATTAGGCTAGATTATACATCTTTGCTGAAGATTATTAAAGTAGACGAATAATTCTCATTTTTTGCATATTTTTATGAACCAGCATTAGATTAATTGTTTAAATCTCTAAATTTTAAATCAGAAACGCAGCTCATTCTAACGAAATGGTAACTTTTCTTCATACTGATGTTTTGCGTCATTTTCATAAGTAGCGATGAAGGCGCTAACTAAAGATAGGCAAAACTTAACCTAGGACTCATGAAAAGCTATGGTAAACAGAGAACAGTAATAAAAATAGCATATTATTCGCTAAAAAAGGGCTACAGAGTCTTCGATAAACAGCTTTAAACCCAAAGTTTAGTGCTTTTATTTTATTTTTTTAGCATGCCACTCGGTACCCTCTACTAAGCTCTTCAAAAAAGTACCGAATAAAGAATATCTTTGTGCTGCCGAATAATAAATAATTTAGAACATAACATAATTAAAACGTAAATAGTACAGTTAACAGAGATCGTTTCAATACTATACATCAGGGTAGAAATAATGATGATTGAAATTGTTATAGTGCCAAATTCTCAGACTGTGACGATACTGTTAGGAAATACTGTTTTGCTACAGTAATATTTTTGTGTCTCATCATTGAATGATCGTGTTTGTTATTTGTACTGAAAGTATCGGCTGATCTGTGTTTTTATATACTGTGTCTTACTTTATAATAATAGATATGCTATTTCCAGATGCATCAAATTTTAAAACATTTTCAAAATGTGACCATCGTATTCATGTGCCTAAAATTACGTTTTAAAGTAAATTTTTTATGTATTTATAGTTAGTTTATTTCGATGAAAATTTATCACATTCCATGGCATTTCATTCACAATCTATTTTTTTTTATTAATTATTTACCAATTTTGAAGTATACGCTGTTATTCATTCAAACCGTAATAATAACAAAACGTTGCATTTCAAATAGACTGAATATATATTGCTGAAGTTTTTTTTTCGCTGTACGTTGAATGATTCATTATATATANCCCCTCCTTTGCAGGAGTGGGGACGTGAACTGTTATCAATACCAGCCTACCTTTAAATAAACCTGTTTAGAACGTATGATGGCTTAAGACTGCATTATTTTAAGCTAAATACAACACTGATAACAGGGTTGTAGCCCTGTTATTACAACCGGATTATTACTTATATATATATATATATAATAACAGGGCTACATCCCTGTTATCATTGTTGTATTCAACTTTAATAATGCAGTCAAAAGCCATAATATGTTATGAAAAGGTTTATTTAAAGTTAGGCTGGTGGTTATAACAGTTCACATCCCCACTCCACAAGGGATGGGAGGGGTGGACAAATCTCCGGATGGTTCCGGCAAATGTTTATTGGAACACGTTAATCAGCAAGAGACATGCGAAAACCATCGGTCCCGCATTAAATACTTACTGATTTTGATGTAATTAGGTTCCAGTCGCACATACCTTTGTAACTCTACGCATTATGGAAAATCATTTAATGCTTCCTAATATGGAAGCGAAAGAGGGACAAGATTCTAAAAATGACTTCTCCTTTGAAATATAAATCTAATTATGATTCAATGGTATGTTTTCAGCCTTGAAGTCCCAAAATAGAATTTCCACATCTATTCTTTACCAAAGACATTTTATGAAAACGAATGAGTTTTAATGTTGTTATTAATACAAAAGTATTTATAATTTTTGTATTACATATATACATACAGTCTTACATAATAAATATTTACGAAAAGGCTACAAAATAATTTAATCCCTGATAGAATCTGATTTGCTACACAATTAAGCATCTGCTTTGAGATAAATGCATATTCCATTGCAACGTTATTTCCCGCAAGATTTAAATGAAATAAGTAACCCATTTAGTTATTCATACTTTTAAGTTTAAATTCACCGATTCAATAACATATTTCCTTTTGAACTATTTAAATAAGAGAATGGATGAAGCATCTAAAGTACAAAGACTTTCCAAATTGAAGTGGCTTTTATGTCAGTCAATTTGAATAATCAGTTAATTTTGAATTTTGATTCCATTGAAAGTTTATGATTGAATTAACATATTTCTATCTTGGAATAGATGGTTTCCTTTATGTTACTTCTTCCATACACTTTAAAAACATTTGTTATCGAAAAGGAAATGAATAAAGTAATTTATTTATCTTTCCAATTATTACATTAATTCATTCTTTCACTTTTCCGTCAAAATGAAAGCAATAAACTAACATGCCAAAAAAGTAGCAGGTCGAAAAGATGGAAACAATTTATATTTTACTCTAAGAATCATGTTTATTTCTCAGTCTATACACCAGATGGCAATACCAGACTTTTTATATGTTTAGATATGTAGTTAATTTTAAACTTGATGTCACCACTTACGTCGAGATAAGAATTGACCTAATGATGATTAATTAACCTAATTACTTAAATTAATCAATTTAATAATTATTTTTGGAAATTAAGCAAAAATGTATAGATTGTATATACACTTTATATAATTTTCTTGAATAAATAAATTAACACTTTTCTGACCGCTTTCTTCAAAATTATGCAACCATTAAGGGGTAAAATAACTTAGAAGTTCCTTTTTTTTTTTTTTAAATGCACTTCTTTATTTTTTCCCTAGAGGCAGACAGTCATGATGAACTTATGCATACATAAATATTAGATACCGTGTGTCAATATAAAGTTCAATAACATATACAGTAGTCTCTCGGCAAAGCGTATTGTGGTTAATAGGCGAACATTTCTGGATTCAGTGTTTTCTAAATTTTAGATTTTTGTACTGTTTTAAAATTTTAATCAAATGTTTTGATTTGAAAATTGAAACTTTTAAAATTTTTGATTGAAATTAAAAATATACATATAAAAGCTGCATAGAATTTATAATGATTAGAAGCATAAGGTATTAATTAAATTTTAACAGATTTTTTTCATTAACTTAAAACATGCAATACAATCAGAATATTGAGATATTTAGAGATATTTATGGCGANCTGTCATTTGGCGAAATTTTACTGTAACTTTAGTTTTTAGAGAAATTTTATTGTAATAATTTTACTTTTATCTCCGCATACCCCCCTGGGGTGGATCGGAGTTCAACCTACTTAATTCCTTACTGCCAATGATAAACTTTAAAATTAATGTCATCATTTAGAGCAGGGGTGGTCAACTTACATGAGGCCGCGGGCCACAATTAAAAACACCAGTCAAGTGGCGGGCCACAACTTTAGCAACATTTTATAAAGGATTATGTTTTAAGGCACATTAAATACACTTTATATAATTTTCTTGAATAAATAAATTAACACTTTTCTGACCGATTTCTTCAAAATTATGCAACCATTAAGGGGTAAAATATCTTAGAAGTTCCTTCTTTTTAAAAAAAAAAATGCACTCCTTTATTTTTTTCCTAGAGGCAGACAGTCGTGACGAACTTTTCCATACATTAATATTAGATACTGTGAATCAATATAAAGTACAATAACATGTACAATAGTCCCTCGACAAAGCGTATTGTGGTTAATAGGCGAACATTTCTGGATTCAGTGTTATCTAAATTTTAGATTTTTGTACTGTTTTAAAATTTTAATCAAATGTTTTGATTCGAAAATTTAAACTCTTAAAATTTTTGATTGAAATTAAAAATATGCATATAAAAGCTGCATAGAATTTGTAATGATTAGAAGCATAAGGTATTAATTGAATTTTAACAGATTTTTTTCATTGACTTAAAACATGCAATACAATCAGAATATTGAGATATTTAGAGATATTTATGGCGACTCACAAACAATTTTTGTTTTAAGAATCATATATTATAATGGAATATCAATATACTGTTAAATTTATGATACAATACAAGAAAAGCTTCATAATAGTCAAAAAATTCTTACCATTATTGAATAAAACATGTAATTAGTATGCTTATAAGAAAGCACAAAATTATATAAATCAAATAAATAAATATTCTGCAGTATTAAATTACTAATTTATAATATTCTACATAAATTGAAAAGTGTTGACGAATTCATTCTTCTACGATGAATTTAGGTTTAAAAAAAAATTTTAAAACATTCGTCTTATGAAAGGTAGTCGTCAAAAGTTTTACAATCACGGTTAGAATGATTTATCCTATTTACTATATTCATTAAATTCGCTCCTCTCAAACTTAAAGTTACTTCGATCATTTCCATTTTTCCCCAATGGAAAAACTTTAATTCTGAATGGTCTTGTATATAAGGCTTTCGCTGATTCTCAGTTTTCTATCACAATTTGGACGGAATTTTTGGCTACCCATTTTCGACAAACGATGATGGATTTCCATTTAACGCATTCTTCTAATTATAAAATTAGGGTGAGTTTGAGTAAGATAGGTATATCTGCAAGATGAGAATGCCCCCACAATTCCTAGTTTTTATATCATGTTGTAAAAAAATAGTCAAGACATTGAAGATAGGTTTTACACGCCCCTAGTGACAGGAATCCTCCAGAACGGAACCCTCTAGAAAATATAAACTTGTGGAAAAAAAGAAAATTCAATTATTTTATCAATTTCGATTAGATAAGATATAGACCACTGGTCACCGAACTTAACTCTGAACTACCATTTCGTTTTTAAATCTTACTGTGGGCTACGAACCAAAAGAAGAACCATCTTTAAAAAGAATAAATAAGTAAATAAAAAATTTAAATTTGGTTTATCAGTTGAGTAGAGAAATCAAGATTCACCGTCCAGAGCGTTAACGCGATCGACGTTCTAACGAGCTTCGCCATCGACGGTTTGGCGATCACTGGTATAGCAGACACTGTAGTTACAGGTTTAAAAGGTTACGAGGGAATTAAGTTATGTGGGGAACTAAGTCCAATTTTGCATGTTTGTAAGTAACTGTATATGACGTTATTCATTTTTTTAAAAAAAAAAAAAAAACGATTTATTNGGGGGGAGATAAGGACGCTGGTATTGGAGTAAAATGAAACGTGCCAGTCTCACCAAAAGAAGTTTTTAAATCACTGTGATGCTCATTTCGAAGTCCTACTCATATGAAATATAAAACACAAATACCATTAGAAGTCATTAGGAATTTCGAAAAAAACCTCGATTTGAAAATAATGATAAAACCAAAGGAGCGATTTGGTTTTCAAATCCATTGTCTCTATTTAACTTTATTTTTCAAAATGAGTCATTAATCTTCTGCAAAATAGTATCATCTACAATCTTAACAAATGTAAATAAAAAAAATTGACTATTTATGTTCGTGTCAACCATTTTTTGTTGCTACCGTCTTTGACTTAAAGTGGAAGTAGATGTGGAGAGGAGCTCTTGGCATATTATTGTACTTACAATTATAGGTTTTTTCTGGAACAAACATTGAGACTGAATAGTTTCATGAACGAAGCTTGTCAATGCATTATGAATAAAAGTTAAGTACTTTTTAAAAGGACGCTATACAATGGGAGAAATTTTCCATTGCAAGTACCTTTCACCTCCATAAGTAATTTAAAATTTAAAGAATGGAAAAAGTGAGTTCAAGCATACCTAGAATAAGAGAGGAAATTTCAAATTCTGAAAGGAAAATTTTAAAATATTAGAATAAAAATTAATTCTGAGAGTGTAAATACTAAAAAATTAACTCTGAGAGTACTTAGGATAACGCAATGGGGGAAGTTCTTTTCCAATAATTTGTATGAATTTAGATATCCGAAAGAAAAAATTTCAGCAATTGAATCTTTATAGCATACTCTGGATTTGTCTAAACTCCTTCTTGCAAATTTAAAAATTCTGAATAACTTATAAAGGAGAATGAAAATTTGCATTAAAAAATGTCTTGCGTGGTATAGCATTCTCGCACATTTTTACCATAAATCGTGAACTGAGATAAGGTCACTAGTATTTAATTTGTGATTTATGTGAGTCATTATGTGAGTCACTATCTTCAAAATACTGTGTAGGACGAGTTTATTAAAGACTTTCATAAATACCAATATATCAAAATTTCCTTTTGCATATGAGTTAAATTTCTTCGTAAATCATTCATTAAAAACTTTGATTATATAATTTAGTAAAATTCATTCGTTGTTTCCATTGCACAGAGGTTCGTTTCGATTGGAGATGAATAAAGCAGTTCTTAAAACCTCAAAAATTTATTCTAAAGTATTGAAATTCGTAACAAAGAAATATTCACAAAATTATACAGACATTTGCAAATTCGTAGCGCTATATTTTGTTATGTTTTAAGAAAATGTTCATCCCCCCCTCCTACAATCACATTAAACATTATTAAAATAATGTCTTCTATTAGGACATCGAAATGAGCACCCTTCTCCTTCCCGTGATATTAAGATAAAACATATTCATTTATGCTTATTTAAAATTCCATTCAATTTAATAGCGTTAAAGCTCCGACGCTCTGAATCACGCACATTTGACTCCAGGCACGTCTAAGTGAATTGTTGTTCGAGCTAAATTTAATTTATGATGAAATCAGAGCAGTTGCGTTATCTATTCCAGCATCAAAATTAAATATTGCTCGAGCGACGGAGTACGTGATGTACCTGTAGGTATTTTTAAAGGTTTATTTAACTTGGATGCATTTTAGTCGCGACGCACACTTTTAGTCGCCTTGAATTTCAAATGAAAAGTTTAACTTATATCGCTGCATATTCATTTCGAAGGGAAAGTAATATTTTATTAATCATACAAATATGATGGAAAATAATTTTTTCATAATTTAACTCTTGTTTTAAATTAATTAATACATTATAAAGCATTCGATCACTTTTTATTGAAGACTTCGATAAAAGGTGCATTTCATCACTAATGCAAAGTTCCTTTTATCAAACAATATGTAATGAAATCCTTTTTTACTTAATATAATCTAAATACAATAGGAAATAAGATTGTAAAATAATCTTATATTTAATAATTAGCTTACTGCGTGTTATGCGTCAATATATTTTGTTTTCTGCTTGCATGATATTTTTTTTAACAGATCTTAGATTCTTTTGTATCACTGATTTCAAATCTCCAACTAGTTTCCCTCTCCAAACTCTATTCTTTTAAATAGCATTTTTAGTCCATTTTTTGTCAAAATATACAAGTTCAAAAACGTTATATATTACAGTAGGTAGCAACAAAAATCTAGGAGCACATTACCAGGTTTGAAACTGCCTCGGAACCCATGCACAGAAATGCCACCATACGCGGTTAGAGATGCTTCCTTATAAAGCGCTGTTTTTTCGTGTGCCCCTGAAGCGGTCATAATAGGTTTAAGCGCCCCAAACCGCACACAACGATATTTCCGAACATTAATTTCTGCGCAATTTTAATGATGAGGATGCTTCCCAACTTCCCTAGAAGTTTGTCGCAACATTTATGCACCCCCTTTTATATATAACGTTTTAAAACGTGTACATAGACTAAAAACGTCATTTTAAAAATAAAGTAAATTTACTAGCTTATGAGCAAAACTAATTTCAGATTTGAAAACCGTTAGTCAAATCAGGCAATATCAAGTATTTGCATCAATGCAACAAAAAATTTGTCCCCCAGTGTAATCAATACTCTTTAAATAGAAGTTATTATATTGTATTTAGTAATACTTTTATGTGCAGTTAATATTTTATATTGTTATGCATACTTTGTACTAGTTTTTTCCATCTTTCGATTATTTCGTCCATTTATTTCTGATTTAGATAAATTTTATTCTCATTTATTTATGCATTATTCGGTTTTATTTATTTGTATAAAAATGTGTTTTATTCTTGTCTTCTGAAAAGCTGTCGAAGGAGGAGGTTCCTCTGCAAAGCTTCAAAGAGCTATGTCCTGTGATAGCGTCTGTTCAGATACATCAGTTGTGTTGGACACGTTAGAATCTCCAGCTCATAACGGAGAATTAGAAGTATCATTAGAATATTTAAGGTAAGGAAAAAACACATTTTTCTTGTTATTCCCACTATCTTTTTACCTATATTATTATTTGGGTAATTTCCTCGCGGCGATTTCTTCAAAATCTAGGCGAGAATAAGAACTGTTCACAACTTCTGAACTAATCCCTCTAAAACGACCCCTTTAATATATATTTTTAGAATAATATTTTAAAATTGAGAAAAAATATATGCACATTAGGGGTCGTAAATAACTATTTTAGAGAGGTACGAGCAAAAATGCGAATGAAATCTGATCTGTATTTCTAATCTGTATTACATATATATATATATATATATATATATATATATAAGTTCAAAATATAGAGAGAACGTGGAAAAAATTACAAAATAATAATAAAAAAAGGAGAAAACTATTAAATAAGAAAATAAAAAATAAAAAAATTAAAAAAAAGTTTTTCATTTTTTTAAATAAAAATTCGAGAAAAAAAGATATAATCTCTTCATCAGCTTACACGATTATATCCACAAAAAGGAGTGCTTTCTAATATTGCATCAATACAGCCGAAGCAAAATATATCAATACAATAGTGTGAGGAGCACTGAAAAAAATTTTGAAACAAAATAGAACACATTAAGTAATAAATAACAAATAAAAAGCAGAAAATAAAATGTAAAGAAAATCAGAACAAAATACAGAACGAAATCAATAAAGTGAGTAGCAAATTCAAATGAACTTGCACGTACTTGAAAATTTTCAAGAATGATTTAAAATATTTTTGTAATAAGATTGCCAGATTACAAAATATATTAAAATAGAAACGCAAATTGTGGTAAAAGCGTAAATAGAGGGATTTCGTTTTATAGCGCATTCTTACTGCAATACTGAAGCGTGTGTGATTTGTTAGTTACCAAGAATCGGCCCGAAAATGAATGCGTACAAGGTAATATTTTACTGGATAATTTAGAAATATATAAGGTCCCTAAAAAATTGCAGCTGAATCGGCACCCAATATATTAAAGTTTAGCATAAAAGACAAAATTCAGATCAGCTTTAATTAAAAATTATTTTGCATTGCTTTATGAATTATTTCTAAAATATAGGCATGGTGCTCTAGATTCATATCCTTATATTTTTTTAAGTTAATAATATCAAGAAACATCTCATTCTGAGTATCTTAATATTTTGAAAGTTCACCGTTCTATTTATATTGGAATGTAACCATATCCAACATTTTTTGTTACTTCTTTCACTGTGTATCAATTTCAGTAATCTACTGTCCCAAACTTTTCGCCAACTTTCTGTTATGCTTGTCCAGTCTTGCCAACTAGATTTCATTGAGAAGGGAATAAAAAGAGAAAAAAATACATTTTGACCTTATTTCTTTTCCAGTTCTGTGATATTCTTTGATATGTGAGGTGATTTCCTGAAGATTTTCTAGCAATTTATTTGTATGAGAGGATTTTCTGAATTTGGCAAGGGAATAGAAAAACATGTTTTCCGTCCGACGCAGTTTATGGATTTTTCTCAGTGGATTAGATTGGCACAAAATTGCGATTGAAAACTAAAAAAACATGTGTTGAAACATGCAAATTATATTAAATTAGAAATCTTATTTTTTTTCAAATGGAAACACGCGAGGGAATCGTTCCGTCAAAAAATAAATTTGATATAATTTAAGTATGTAAATTCAAATTTGATCAATTTATCCTAAACTAAATATATTGTAGAGCAAAAGTGTGATAAAGTAATTAAAATTGTTTAATTTACTTTTTTACTGTAAGCGTCCTAGTCTAATTATTTAATCAAAACTCTGAGGATAAAAACATAAAACGTAAAAGAGAAATGTTGAAAATATTGTGACAAAGAAATAACTCACTGTTTACGGTCAGCGTCATAATTGGATGTCTGCAAGTGACGTCATAATACGTAAATCGTGGCATTTGTCGATTCAGAAGCTAATCAGGTTCGACACACGTGTACGACGGTATCCAATTAAATCTTGTTTAAATCACATAGTTAGGCGTAGTCTCGCTTCTTCTCGAGATGCAAGTAGCCGATTGTGTTGCAGTTCAAAAATCATTAAAAGGTAATTCAACAGTGCCAGATCTGAAAAAAATGTCTGATGTGGTAAAATTGATCTTATCCAATTTGTAAAAGCGAGCTGTAAAACACAACTTGTATGAAGTCTCAAATTTTCCTGGTGGGGGATTCTACCTTAACTATACCCTCAAATTCAACCTTAAATTCTACCTTAACTATACCCTCCTTGGGTATTCGAATTGTCTAGTTAATGACAGAACACTTAACAGTTAGTTGTCTGATTGGAAATTTAAAAAAAAAAAATGCCCTTGAAATCCTTCAAAACATATACCATTGCACAAATTCAAATAGACATTGTTTGATAAGCAAATCTTACCATCTGTCAAAATATATAACAATTGAACTTAAGCGTGAAGTTGGCTGCGAAAATATGCAATTAAGTCTCCTGTTGGGGAAAAAAAGGATATCATTTGGCGAAGAATACAATAACAGAAAAGAAAATTTATTNGTAATTGTATCTGAATGTGGATGTGGAATATGTTTGTGTATATGCATATGTATGTGGATGCATATGTGGCTGTGCAGGTGTATGAGCAAGAAAATGTGCATATGTATGTGTATATGTACTGTTATGTATTTCATGCACCCCACGTTTTTTGTTTTTCAATTTTTTTTAATTATTATTCTACACTACAAAAACGGGGTTTTTAAAAATATTATTTTTTATTTTGANAGCGACAAACAGTTTTTGCTATTTCGTTATCCTCTAGTACATTTCCAAGAATTAGTGTTAGATAAAAATGCCTTTGAAGTCCGAGTAATAATGGGTACCCTAAATGAGAGAAAAATATGAATTTTTGAGTTGAAAAGCCAACGGAAAAAGATTAAGTGACAGCTGATAGTTTAGGGTTATTAAAAGCGGAGCACTACGAAAGCTTAACGTGTTTTCATCGGAAATTCCCAGCAGTTATAAAAATACCTAATTATTCGCAGAAAAGTATTATTTCATATTACGACTGAGCTTTCGAAAAACAGCCGAATTGAGAGTTGTACGAACGGAATTCAGCCACATTTATGCAAAATGTTAATTGAAAATGTCGTCAAAAGAGGGAATAAGCGACGAAAAAGCCTGATATGCTGTTCATCAGATAACCTCTACTGTATGCTTCATGAATAAATAAAAAAAGTTAACCATTTTCAATTAAAAATCTGTGATTTTTATCAAATTACTTTGTGCAGGAATTTTAGGGCAAAGCTGTAGATACAGATTTTTGCGTCGTCTTTGAATCTCGTTGCCATGCATTATTTATACAGAGCGTTCCAATTGCTTTACAAAAACAGATTCATGTTAACGAACTTCAACCAATTGGACTTCTTTTCAATCGATACTTTAATCAGAATTCTTGAAAAATGTTGACTAGACCCTATTGATTAGCATCCAATAAAAAGTAATCATCGCTTTCATGGTTGAGACAAAAATCGGTAAAAATGGCAATTCTGTTCAAACGTTTAAAAGTACATTTTTGTCTTTTTTTTTTTTCAAAATAAAATGTACAATAACAGAAAAATTAGTTATTTTAAACAAGAAATTTAATTTTCATCACTCAAGAATGTTTTCTAACAAAAACTTGTTATTGGCAAAAATTGATTAAAATAGTGAAACTAAATTCATAGAGAAATAAACACTTGCGTGATTTATTGCAATCAAATGATTGAAATCTTACATTCTTTCCTATACATTGTTTGTATGAGAGAAACTGCAATACAATAGAGTTGTCAAAAATAATACAATGAGATTATTAGTTTATATCGGCAACTTGCTATAAACAAAGAATTTTTCTCTATTCATGTAATTCATAGAATATTTTACCATTTAGGAAGCTTTTTCATACTCTTTATTCAATGAAACTTCATTTCAACCTTTACAGGATATATCTTATTGTATCGTATCCAAGCAATATTATATTAACCGAAAAGAGTAGAAAAAAATTTCGAAATTTGTTTGTTTACTTAATTTATCTTAAAAGATTCCAATAAGAAAAAGATCCTATTTTTGAATTATTCCAGTTTATTTAATTTAATCTAAATGTTACATTTTGCGAAACTTTCTCTCATTCTTTATTCAATAAAACTTAATTTCGATCCTTACGGAATCTTCCACATTACATGGCATTGAAAATAGTCATGCTATATGCATATTAACCAAAAAATGAGAAATAAGAATTTAGAATTTATTTGTTTACCTAATTTATCATGGAAGTTTCCAATAAGAAAAGTACCCGATCTTTCAAATAATTTTTTCTTCCTTAAATCCTCTTCTGACAAGGGTAAATTTACTTTCACAGAAGAGTAGACAGCTGGAGGGAATCTAACGTTTATTGCATATATTTCTAAGATAGGAGTGGCAACGTTACGAAATCGCCTGCTTCAAGCAATGTCATGTTCTTCATATGCTGATGAGACGCTGCCAACGAAAAAGAAATGTTTACTTGCCGCCTGTCTGAAGAAAAGATGTATACTAAAATATGAAGGATAAAAAATACTGGGCTATTATTGGACCAAAGTCTAATATGTCGAAGCAATTTAATGCTTGAGGAAAATTCAATATAAAGTAATCTTATTTTTTCTGTTTATTTAATAGGTTTAGATAGTGCTGTCTACATAAAGTTATAACTGAATAAAATTTGCCATATCTAAGCAATTTATACATTTTAAGTTAGGAAAAGAATTTTTTGTTTAAAACGCATAATATATTTTTCAAAGTGAAGTTTTTTTAACGCTTTTTCAACTGATATTTTACAGCTGTGAAAAATATTGTTTTAATTTTTCCTGTTTTTTTTATTTAAAAATAGCTAGTTACTTTAGAAAAAAAAGTTTGACCATTTATTTGGAAGTTTAAATTTTTTTTTTTCGTTTTGTTTTATCCTGCTTAATTTTTCTCACAAAAACGAATTTCACTTTCAGTACAGGAAAATCTCCAATACTTGTTA